CTTGGTGCAATAGCATGCAATGCACCCAAGGCACCAGCATGACCCGAATCCTCGTCATCGTCCCAGCAGGTCCACGCTTGTCCGCGAGCAGCGTGCGGATGCTCCTTCATGGCGGGTGCTCTGCATACGGGGATGCCCCCTCTGAGTTCGCCTGGGCTGCATGGCATCAAGTCGCACCCGAAGCGCGGCGGGCGACTGATGGACGGCACCTCGTCGTCATCGTCCCAGCAGTTCCCTGTCCGTTCATGCGCGGAGGGCGGGTGCGCCTCTATGACAGGAACAGGGATGTCCCCTCCGAGTTCGCCGGGGCTGCATGGCATCGGCTCAACTCTCGTGCAGAGCTGTGCGAAGGCCTCCGCATCCAGGCACTTCACGCGCCCGAAGCGGAGAGGGCCACTGCTAGACGGAATCACATCAATCAACAGAAATTTATCACGCTTGTCCTCTTCGAGGACGCGCCAGCAACCAGGGGAGCGGGGTGTCACCGTCGACCCTGGCATTCTGCTGCTAGCTGATGCTTGCCATTTTCCCGACCAGCACCTCTACAAGAGCCAAAACATCTGCGAAGGCACAGCCAAGCTACTGCACACTCCAATGCTCCAGATTTCGCAGCCGTCTACAAGGCACAAGCACTCGGCAAGCACAAACATCAAAGAGCCAGAAGGGCTCAAGAGAGTGCTTTGCAGAGGCTCGGCAAAAGGCTGCGGTCGAAACATGTCAACAGGCCGCAGAAACGATTGGAAACAAGCAACAGCAGAATTTCACCAAAGAGAGTTCTTGTTCTTGAAACTGTTTGGTATACGGTTCACGCCTCTCGTTGCAGAAGCTAGCCAGATGCTCAAGACAAAACAAAAGCGTCTTTTGGCCACCATATAAGAACTGCAAGAGGCACTCGCTGACACCAACTTCCATCAACATATCACACAGCATCATACCACGAACATATGCACGTGGGTCGTGTCCGACAAACCCTGGCTGCTTGGCCAGTGCCACCTGCACAACCTCCCCGAAACAACACCTCAGCAAGTAGCGACTTTTACCCCGATACGGCAGGTACCAGCCGGTCAGACAGAATTTGAAGCTTGATGAAGATGGAAGAATAATTTCGGATTCTTGATGCACAAGTCCAAAAGCCCCGACTCATCTCATGTTTTGCTGCCTTGGCTTCCTCCTTTCGATGTTAAACTGCCGTCCACCGTTTCATAGGACAGCTGCCGCTTGGGTTGGATTCCGACACACGGTAGAGGGCTCCATCCCTTGCAGCAGCGTGGAGAAGACTTTGCTGTACAGCGGGCTTTGATTGATTTCAAGGTAGTCGCAGAAGGAGCATGGACGTCGGAAACGCCAGCGTGAGAATTCGGCGACTAGGCCTCCGTTGCTTCGCAGAACTAGTCTTGCGGAGTAATGCCGTACCTCGCTGGAAGCACACCGCAGGCTGCCTCAAGCATGTCACTCGTAGCCACTATGATTTAAAGGATTTTTATCCTCCACCTAGAAAGTAAGCTATGCTGGCAAATCTTCCACATTTGGGAGACAGAGTCAATAGCCTCAAGCTTCTGCGGAACGGCACTTGCTAATGTCTCATCGCGCAGCTGGGTGAAGGTAACCAAGGCACGACTCCAATTGATGGAGCACGATTCCCACCGAACGGCACATCAAGATTTCGCGACCGAGACCCCTGTAAGCCGCTGTTGCTTTGTTGCTTCGCAGAACGTGTCCTGCGGAGTGACGTCGTACTTCGTTGGAAGCACACAGGGGAGATAAACACGGATCCCTGTAAAAAAGTGAAAGTCACAGAACAAAAGCTGTGTGGTGCAGCGCACTTAAACATACAACATACCGGAGAGTTTCGTATGTACCTTGATTCCATATGAGGTCGCTTCAGTCTCTACAGTGTGCTGTCACATGTGTCACAAGCCAGAGGTAGACGGACGCAATGACAAAAGCGTGGGCCTGACCCCATCTCATCAGGACAGATCTGGCAAAAACATACCGAAAAGGTAGATCTTAATTATGGTCCTTTTGGGAAACTCCCTCATGCCACATGCCTCTTCCGGCTTAGGATACCAACGAGGGCCCAAAACATGTATCAAACATGTATCAACCTTTGGGGCTGGCGCAATGCTGGGAACTGCATGGATTCTCCGGGTAAACTCTGGGAAAGGATTCTCTTGGGGTTGTGGGGCACGGTATAATCTGGGGGCTGTGCACTCCAGGGATTCGCTAATTCTCTGAAAGTACTTTGGGGTGGGATACGGGTGATGAGCGAGGAGTAGACTGGGCGAGGAGAAGAGTTTTTTTGAAATCTACAACCCCACACGGAGGGCGGGGGAACACTTCAGGCTAGACTTCCCGGAGCATCATCCAGGCAAAGGCAAGGAACAGATTGGTGGCGGATTACAAATGATTGCTCTGTTGTTTGCACGCAGGTCGCTACAGCCCTAGCCGCTAGCCTCCATCTAGACATATTGGCTATGCTGCCAGATCGCCCAGCATGAGGGAAAATGCAGAAAATGGAAAGCTTTTGCGAGCTTGGAGTAGTGCCGTACTTCGCTGGAAGCACACCGCAGGCTGCCTCAAGCATGTCACTTGCAGCCACTATGAAAGTATGCTATGCTGGCAAATCTTCCACATTTGGGAGACAGAGTCAATAGCCTCAAGCTTCTGCGGAACGGCACTTGCTACCTCTCACCGCGCAGCTGGGTGAAGGCAACCAAGACACGACTCCAATTGATGGAGAACGGCACATCAAGATTTCGCGACCGAGACCCCTGTAAGCCGCTGTTGCTTTGTTGCTTCGCAGAACGTGTCCTGCGGAGTAACGTCGTACTTCGTTTGAAGCACGCAGAGGAAATAAACACGGATCCCTGTAAAAAAGTGAAAGTCACAGAACAAAAGCTGTGTGGTGCAGCGCACTTAAACATACAACATACCGGAGAGTTTCGTATGTACCTTGATTCCATATGAGGTCGCTTCAGTCTCTACAGTGTGCTGTCACATGTGTCACAAGCCAGAGGTAGACGGACGCAATGACAAAAGCGTGGGCCTGACCCCATCTCATCAGGACAGATCTGGCAAAAACATACTGTCAAGGTAGATCTTAACTTGGTCCTTTTGGGAAACTCCATCATGCCACATGCCTCTTCCAGCTTAGGGTACCAACGAGGGCCCATAATATATAATATATACTCATATATATATATATATATGTATATATATATATATAAGGATTTTGTTCATTTGTACTATTGATACTTTTGTATTTACCTCTATACTTATATATATATATATATATATATATATGTATGTGTATATTTATTTGTTTTTTATTTTCTTATATTTATTTATTTATCTTTATTTATTCATATTTATATATTTATATTTATTTATTTATATTTTTATATTTATATTTATTTATTTATATTTATATATTTATATTTATTTATTTATATTTATATTTATATATGTATATTTATATATGTAGATATATATATATATATACTTATATTTATATTTATATTTATATTATATTTATATTTATATAATTATATTTTTATTTTTGTCTATATTTATATCTATATTTACACTTACATTTATATTTATAGATTCTATTTCTCAACCCTTGGGGCTGGGCGCTCCAGGGATTCTTTGGAGATACTCGGTGGGCAATGCTCGGCACTCCAGGCATTCTGCGGGTGTAGTCTCGGGGCTGAGCGCTATAGGGATTCTCGAATAATGCTCTGGGGGCTGGGCACTTCAGGGATTGTGTGCGATACTCTAGGACTGGGCACTTCTCTGTGTATTCTCTGGGCAATGCTGGGCACTCCAGGGATTCTCCGGGTATATTCCAGGGACTGGGTACTCCAGGGGTTCTCTGAAAATACTCTGGGGCTGGCGCACAAAACAACACAAAGGAGCGAGCAAGGCGGAGCAGCCAGTGCACGAGGGGGGGAGGGGCACGCAGCTTGCAAGTCAAAACCACAGCCAGCGAGCCACCATGAGCCACCCCGGCATTGTTTCGGGATACGGTATAGTCTGGGGGCTGGGCACTCCACGGATTCTCTAATGATGGGGGCTGGGGCACTGCAGGGATTCTGTGGGGATACGCTGTACTCCAAGGATTCCCTCTTGGGGTTGGGCACTGCAGGGATTCCCCGTGATACGCTGGGCAATGCTGTTCACTCCAGGCGTTCTCCCAGTATATATCATCTGGGGGCTGGGCACTGCCACTCAAGGGGCTATCTGGCGACAATCTGAGGTTGGGCACTCCAGGCATACTCTGGGGTGGGATACGGGTGATGGGCGAAGAGTAAACTGGGCGAGGAGAAGAGTTTGCTTAAAATCTACAACCCCACACGGAGGGTGGGGAAACAACTTGAGGATAGACCCCCCGGAGTTTCATCCAGGCAAAGGCAAGGAACAGACGGGTGGTGGATTACAAATGATTGCTCCTTTGTTTGCACATAGGTCGCTACAGCGCTAGACCCATCTAGACATATTGGCTATGCTGCCAGATCGTCCAGCATGAGGGAAAATGCACAGAATGGAAAGCTTCTGCAGAGCTTGAAAACGCGGATGTCATTGCTCTCGCACACGTGAGCATCATCAATCCGGCCGGTATCACTGATGTTGAGGATCCCGTGAGCTCCGCCCATTGGGCGGTCCAAAACGCTCAGGATAAACTGATTGCAAGGCGGCACGTCGACAACGTCAAGGGGAGCACTCTGCAAAAAAGAGAAAGCGACCCTGTAAACGTAGGTTGTTTAATAGAACTTGTCTTTCGGATTGGCGTCGTCATTCGTTTGAAGCACACAGCAAGTTGCGGACAATAGTCTGCAACTTTACTGCGTGCTTCTGGAATGTCTCACAAACTCTAGGTAAACGGATGTGCCATCTCACGAAGCATCAGAAAGGATAATTGCCCTGGAGAACACATATTGGCTACAACGTTGTTCTAGTGGCCAGCTGTCCCACAACATGGAGCTGTCCCCCTCAGCAGTTCAGAGAGTGCATGAATGCAGCCCCTCTTCGGATTTCAGCTTTGTGCTCCGAATCTCAGCGTCGCGCTGCTCGGTCCTCCCCTTGCTCACCCGGCTGATGGACGTTGCGAGGCTTGTCATGGCCCTGACCATACGCGTGACCTGGCAAGACACGTACAGAAGGCCAATGCTTTTTGCGACTAAGCAGGCAAAATAAGCAAAGTGTAAAGGGTGCTGGTGGTTGCAGACATTGCCGAGTTGCCGATTTGCATATAGACGACGAAAACTTCGTGAATCACCGACGAAGCTTTGCGCATTGGCGACGAAGCTTTGCATTTTGCCGACAAAAGAGTGCGAGTTGGCGACAAAGGAACGCGTACCGTCGGCGAAGAAACTCGTATTCCCCTCGAACAAGCGCTTGTTGCCGACGTGTTGCTGAAGATTTGAACTTTAGACACTTTAGACACCGTATGACCGGCCCTGGCCTTCCCTGAAACATACCTCAAAGCTGGGGTCTTCTCTCCCTGTTGCCCCCGGCATCTTGAAGAGTCCAACTTGGCCCTTCGCACAACTCAATCTATAGCATATTTGGGTCTTGTCTCTAGAGGATACCAAACAAACATTCACAAACAGCAAGAATGCGACAGTGTGGCAGTGTGTATGTGGCAATTGCCATCCAGCCCTCCTGTTCGACCAGTGCAGCAGTTCGAGTGCAATTCCATAATTGTTTCGCTGGCTGGATGCGGCTGGCCTTCACTCGCCAGGTCTTCTGCTTCTCAACTTTACCTGCCGGGCGTTGCCACTCAGACAAGGCTGATGCCGGGTCCCAGAGTGTGTCACACAAAAAACCGTATCATAAACCATCTAAGAAGATCTAAGAAGTCCTTGGTGCAATAGCATGCAATGCACCCAAGGCACCAGCATGACCCGAATCCTCGTCATCGTCCCAGCAGGTCCACGCTTGTCCGCGAGCAGCGTGCGGATGCTCCTTCATGGCGGGTGCTCTGCATACCGGGATGCCCCCTCTGAGTTCGCCTGGGCTGCATGGCATCAAGTCGCACCCGAAGCGCGGCGGGCGACTGATGGACGGCACCTCGTCGTCATCGTCCCAGCAGTTCCCTGTCCGTTCATGCGCGGCGGGCGGGTGCGCCTCTATGACAGGAACAGGGATGTCCCCTCCGAGTTCGCCGGGGCTGCATGGCATCGGCTCCACTCTCGTGCAGAGCTGTGCGAAGGCCTCCGCATCCAGGCACTTCACGCGCCCGAAGCGGAGAGGGCCACTCCTCGACGGAATCACATCAATCAACAGAAATTTATCACGCTTGTCCTCTTCGAGGACGCGCCAGCAACCAGGGGATCGGGGTGTCACCGTCGAACCTGGCATTCTGCTGCTAGCTGATGCTTGCCGAATTTTCCCGACCAGCACCTCTACAAGAGCCAAAACATCTGCGAAGGCACAGCCAAACTACTGCACACTCCAATGCTCCAGATTTCGCAGCCGTCTACATCGGGGCACGTCAAGGCACAAGCACTCGGCAAGCACAAACATCAAAGAGCCAGAAGGGCTCAAGAGAGTGCTTCGCAGACGCTCGAGTGCTGTGCACTTTGCCAAAAGGCTGCGCATGAAACATGTCAACAGACCGCGGAAACGATTGGAAACAAGCAACAGCAGAATTGCACCAAAGAGAGTTCTGGTCCTTGAAACTGTTTAGTATACTACGAGATGCAGAAGCTAGCCAGGTGCTCAAGACAAAACAAAAGCGTCTTTTGGCCAGTGTGGCGACTGTCACTTCCCAAGGCGATCTGAAGCCAGCAATGGGTTTGTTTATCTGCTTTCTAGTCTTGCGATTGCATAGTGGACTGTTCAATGGGTTTGTTTATCTGCTTTCTAGTCTTGCGATTGTACAGTGGACAGCATAAGCAGCTGCACCATGTAACAATTGCAAGAAGCACTCGCTGACACGAACTTCCATCAACATATCACACGGCATCATACAAAAAAACACATGTACGTGGGTCGTGTCCAACAAACCCTGGCTGCTTGGCATGGAGTTTGACTCCCCATGGCCCAGGCCAGTGACGCCTGCACAACCTCCCCGAAACAACACCTCAGCAAGTAGCGACTTGTACCTTCAATTGGCCGGTCAGTTCACGTGGTTGAGTGGCGGATGGCGCGTCTTGCGTGCGCATGGCCTGAATTTCGACGATGAGCCAAAGGAACTGATTAAACGGCTCCTGGAGATGGAGTCTACTGTTTGCGCAATCTGCATATGCAGTGTTCGAACAATGCCAGCAATGCTGGACGAAGAGGAAAGCCCAAAAAAGAGGAGTTGTCCAAAGCAGTGGCCAAACTGGAAAATGAGGCAGCTGCCCGGAAGTTTGGCCATGGATCTTGGACCTCCGGGAGGGTGGACGTGAAGCGCCTCTTGAAGGCGCTTCCGCCTTTCACATGCCACAAGCGTGCACGCTAAGGGAGGCTCAGGCTGCTCGGAGGCACGTCTGAGTTGAGGCCCAAATTGCAAGAGTTGACATGAGCGAGGCCTTCACCGTCCTCGGCGCGCTGGGCCTTCAAAACTCGGAACACACTTTCGGCCACCCCGCTTCTGTCATCTCCCTGGCGGTCAATCGACTGCAGCCGGACGGCTTGCTGCAATGCTCAGGGGCCAAGGAGTGTGCAGATTACCAACAGAAGCGAGTGCCCTGTGAGACCAGTGTATTAGCCTCCGACCTCCTCCAGATGCAAAGGCAACACCGAGACACCGAAAGCCTTTGCTGAGCCTCTGAGCTCACATTGAAGGCGATGGGCTGGCTCTTTGTGGATATCAGTTGCATCCGGAAAGGTGCTGCAAACGCCTTTGGCGTGCTGAACCCAAGTCGCCCCAGGCAGTATCTGTGTTGCTGGATCGGGTGTCTGCAGAAATGGGTGAACTTCAGACTCCCAGAACCAAACAGTTGGAGGAAGAGAGGTGCGGCACTGCAGCACTATCACCAAGGGCAGTTAATAACAAAACCCCAGACCCCTGCAACCGCCCCCTAACCCCAACACAAAGCCCCCAAAGTCCCCAAGAACACCCTAAATACCTCAAAATACCCCTACACTTGGCCTAAACATCCCTCAAGCACCTGACAGTCAGGGAAGCTCCCCAGGGAGGCTTGGGGGTTCAGGGCGCGACTAAGCAGGCCTTTGAACCTGCAAGGCGCCCCAAATAGAAACATCCGAAGCCGGGAGAACGCATGTCGGCCCACATGGCCTAGGGTTGAGGGTTTAGGGTTTAGGGTTTAGGGTTGAGGGTTTAGGGTTTTCGGGGTCCCCTTGAACTTCGCATCACCCAGAGATGTGATGTAAAAAGTCTTGGGCGTCCGTGCGTTTTCGAGGCTCGAGCTCAGGATGTCAGCAAACTTGGACCAGCCGCCACCTGCGCGGCGGATGTTCTGAAAATAGGTTGCGATATGTTGCGATGCAGGCGGCAGCATAAACTTCGACCATGCATTTGGGTGGCAATGGGTTCAAGCTTACGTTCAAGAACACTCCACCCTCCCAAGCCCAACTGCCCCGGCTTCGAGGTTTCCCACAAGCTTTCCCCAAAACTTCAAGTTTAATTCAGGGCTTCAGGGCTTCGGGGCTCCGGGGTTGCAGGGCTTCTGGCATGTCTACCCTATGGACGTCAGCACCATCCCCAAACCGAAATGAGGTCTTCAATCTTTGGAAGCGCGAACCCCTCCAGCCATTCTGCCTTGCCTGTTGTGACCGGGCACAGACATGTGGCAGGCCCTTGGTTGTTCGGGACTTGAAAAGATTGCCGCCGCTGGTACCCTGAAGCGCTCAATCCTATCCTCGCTACGTTTCTGAGGCTTAGTGCGTAAGGATTGGGATGAGTGCTTCAGCCGTGCGCACGATGCAGGGAGACAGCCTCCTAAGAGGTATGTGAGATGCTTGTTCGCGACTTCATTCCAGCTGCCGGCTGCTGAGACGCGCGCCAAGTGTCACATTATCGAGCAAGGATATCCCTGGGCGGCAGTACATCAGCTAGGGTTAAGGAGTGTAGGGTCTCATACTGCTCTACTCATGCAAATTTACAAAAACCCATTCTCCGTACCAGATTGAAAACTGTCCAGCCTTGCATCCCAAACCCAACCCTCTTGCCTGCTTCTCTTTGTCAGAACAGTTGCTTCATCCGGAACCTGCCACAGAATCGCTGAGAACACTGGATCTTTGAGCTTCAGGCACGAGGATACGGTTGAGATGTTCCTGGGCTTCACAGATGCCTAGGGTCTCTGCCGCCCCTCCCAACGTGCCTAGCACAAGTCGTCCTCAAACGCACCCTTTTCCCCTGAATCCTGTGCACCGAGCAAGATCGAACCCGGAACAATCAACCAGCCTGATTAGACCGCTGCAGGCGGCTCAGGCAGGTCAGGTGGCACTGCCGGCGGCTCCGCTGGCAGCGCGGCGGGTGCCTTTCTTGGCAGAGAATGGTGTGAGCCACGCTATTCGGATCCATCCCGCGTGGACCCTCACTGTTCAGGGCCTCTTTCGACGGCTCCGGCGACTCGACTTTCGACTTCTTCGGCTCCTGCGGGGCTTGAAGGGGGGCTGGATATACTTTCGCAAGGGTTTTGGACATCCAGAAGTAAGAAGGTTCAGGAACAAGCCGACAAAATTCATTAATCCACCTCTAGAGACACTTACAGTCTGGGGCTTTTGTCAGCTCATCCGAAGCGCTTCTCCTTCACGACCTCTGACTTCTTCTTGGCGGCAGCCTTCTTGCTTGCGGCGTCCTCTGGCTGCCAGGCTTCAATAGACCAGCCCAACTGTTTCTGCAATTGCCGGGTGGAGCGCTGAGCTGCTAAGGCCAAAGGGAGAACGGTCTGCCCCCTCCCCCTCCCCCCACCCCCGAGTCGCCGACGGTGGTGGACTTCTTGGGCCCCTTCGTCTTCTTCTTCTCGCCCTGTGGCAGTCGCGTTGAGCCCTAAAACACTGAAACCCCAAAACACGATCCCAATTCATGAGGGTCCCGGCTTGGAGCTTGGGATCTGGAGCTCGGGCCGGTATTTGGGCTCCGAGATTCGAATTCTGGCTCGCCCCGGCACCACAAAGAAAATGAAGGAAGCATCAACACTCATTCAGACTTCTTCAACGTGTCAACGCTCAGATAGGATGAGCCGATGAGAGATCAGGATTTTTCAAATCACACATTTGGCAAGGTTCAGGGCGCGGAACAGATCCCAAACCGGCGAAGGGCTTCTCTTCGCACCTCCTCCGCCTTTGGAGGTTCCTTGCAGCGACATGGCGGACGTGGGTGCTTGGTTTCAGCGTTTGGGGCCTAGTTGGGCAGGGAGAGAAAGGCGGCCCCTTCCAGAGGCTTGTTCGGCTCGCAGGATGCAAATGGCACGAGGTATTTGTCCCAGTGTTCTCCAGATGCTTCTTTTGAATCTGGCTGGGCGTCATGTGCTCCAAGGGCAGGCTTCTGGGTTTCTCTCCTTCATGCCTCCAAGACCTGACGCCTCATGCTCCCCACCAGAAAAAAGCCACGCCACGAAGAAGAAGAAGAAGAAGAAGAAGAAACCTTGAACCCCAAACCCCTACACCTTCTGGAGCCTCTCTACAGTGGAGGCTGGGACGTGCTTTTGGCCACTTATTGCTGGAGGCCCGCCCCTCCTCATTACAACAAATGTTGAAGCCGTCGGCCTCCTCCTGGGCCGCAGGCACGTCAGGAGGTGCCTGACGTCCCACGTCACCAGCAGAATCCCCAGAAAGGCTTCGAGCGTTGCCGCAACTCTCAACCCACAAAGCTCCGGCTGCCCGCAGCTACAAGTATCAGGCAAAGCTACGGTCACAGGTTCAGGGCTGCAAGTTGGATGTTTCGATGCAGGGTGTGGCACCACATCGAGTCATACGCCCGCACACTTCAGAAAACAACGCGTTCCTCGAACACCACATGTTGAAGCCACCGGCCTCCTCCTTGGCCGCGGGCAGGTCAGGAGGTGCCTGACACCATGACCCCACGTCACCAGCAGAATCCCCAGAAAGGCCGGGCCTTTCTCATTCGTAAGCCCTTCAAGGACTGCAGGTGCTGTCAAGATAGCTTTTGAGCGTTCTACCCATCAGAACATCAGAACATCTCAGTAGAGCCCTGGGCCAAACACTCCAACGGGCTCACTCTCAAGACTCTAAACCGACGAAGAAGGATTCGGCCTGTCCCTTCTATGATCAGCCTGCATCATACCCGAAACGCCGTAGACCAACACTGGTCTCACGGAGCCGGAAACGTTTGGGGCTCTAGGGTTTCCCAACCCCCCCCCCTTCACACCTACCCCGAAACCCCAAAAACTTGCGGTTGGCTAGCATATCATCCCTGAAGGGGTATACATGGGGCCCTAATTCCCCCATTCCCTGCTAACTAGCAGAGCAAAGCAACGCCCCGCCTCGGGAGAAGGCGGCGTGCCGACCGGTTCCGGCGCTGGCTCCATCGCGTCCTGCAGAGGCCGCCCTCTGGACCCTGAACCCCGAAACTCTGAGATGCAGATCCTTTTGCTGAACTAGGGTGGTTTTGGGTTTAGGGTTTAGGGATTGGGGTGTAGGGTTTGGGGGTAGGGCTCCGGCTTGCAAAGGCGTGCGGTATAGAGTTGAGGGTCAGGGTAGGTCTCAAGAGCCCTACACCTCAAAAGTCCCCAAACCCCTGAAGCCCCTGAAAGCCGAGGCGAATCCCCAAAACACTTGACTCTGCTGCCTCCCCGGCCCCAATCGCGGCTGTCTCGCCCATGGGCGCCTCTTGCCTCAGTGTCCCCCTGGTTATGTGCTGGATGTTTCCTGACAGGGTTTAGGGTTTAGGGTTTAGGGTTTAGGGGTTTAGGGTTTAGGGGTTTAGGGCAGTTTCAGAGTACTTACCTTGCTGTGGCCTCCGGATTTGTGTGAAGGCTTTCAGATCACTGGGGAAAACCCAGATTGCTGAGGGGGAGGAGCAGGGGGGAGGCTCCACACCACTCATCTGGCAACGTTAGGCCGGTGCGGGGTTGGATCCTCATGAGTATGGGGGATTGATCTCCAAGCAAAGATGCAATCCTTGCCGTGCATTCCTGCGTGTGGACTTCTGCTACTGGGGAAGCTCCAGTTCAGCACACCCTTGACCTCCACACGCCCAAGATTCCAGACACCCGCACTTTGAGGCTCAAGCAAGTTGGATACGATCATGTCTTCTGACGCGCCGATCCTCTGCCACGATACATTAAGGTGTCTTCGGGCTCGTGGTTCAGATACCGATTTCCGAAGACCCGCGACCAACCCCTGAACCCCAAACCCTCTGGGGTTTAGGCTGAGGATAGGCGTAATTCATCTCCGGCGGTCTCGGAAACACACGAAACCCCAACAGACACACTCGAAGAGGGCTCGTTTAGGACCTTAGGATGTGTCCGTTCGCGAGGCCCGACTCCCCAAACTCCAGATTTCACGCCACTGCGAAGCACAAGGCCCGAGTCCAAAAACCCTGTTGAGGAAAACAAGCTTCGGGCCTCGAGGGACTCACTATGAAGCTACCTCTAGTCGGAATCGTATACACATATACATAGAATTATATAACAACATCAACCCCCTATGAGCCCGAGACCCGAAACCCCCCCGCGCGACTTGGGCCCGCGGCTTCTTCGGCTCCAGCCCCTCGTCCACATTCTTCCCGGTGTCCTTTTCAAGGGACGTTTCGTGAGGCTTTTTCGGGGGGGGGGGGAGGTTCGGTTCCTTTTGGGGGCTTGGGGCTTTTGTGCGTTGGTGGCTCCCCTTCGTTGGTATATGTGATCCGGTGCCACTTATAGGACCCCTGGGGGAGTCAAGAGTTGAACCTCAGGTTTCGGAGCTCCTCGACGTTGACGACCATATGGGAATCGAAGTCTTTGGCGGGCTCCTTGGGCCACGGAACTTCCAGAGACTCCATGTCACATCTGCGGATGCCCATCTGTATGACCCTTCGACCTGTTGAATCGGCATTGCCTTTTGAAATTGTATCCACGGCTCCTGCTGGGACTTCCTTGCCTCCTGGGCCAGCAGCTTTGGGTTTTAGGGAAGCCCTCAACCGGGTTCAGGTGTCATTGTAAGGGATTCAGGCCATCGAAATGAGCCTTCCTGTCGGGGAGGCTTCGGGGGGGAGGCTTAGGGTTTTCGCAGAAGAGGCTGTTGAGCTCCCCGTCCTCTGCTGACGGGTCGTACCTGCCTTTGCCGGACAACTCAAAGGCCAGACCACCTTGGAAAGAAGGTCAGGGATTCGAGCGTCAGATTTCCTAACAGGAGCACGATTGGCCTAGGCATGATGGGGTATGAGCTTTGGGCACAGAGATGTGGGGATCCAAAACTGTCGACCCCAACACGCAGACCTTTGGGCTCTCGGGAAAGATTCGGATGCAGTAGGGTTCTGGGGAAATGGGGATTGCTGGAAGTTGTGATGCTCAGGGCTTTTTCTGGCCTTACAGGCCCTGCGTCACTCTAGCCACAGTTCTAGCATTGAAGAAGGTGGAAACTTGGGCGAGAACATGGCCTCCCAATTCAACCCGGCCCTAAACCCAGTGGAAGGCAGACTCGGGGCACGGCCAATAACGGCCAGCACGGCCAACACGGCAAGTGGATAGATCATGACCTGTGATACGTAGGCCACGTGCTTAACCCTATTCGCACTGAACCTCCCGCCTCAAACTGCTAACCCCAATCATCAAAGCCACGGCAAAGCACCCAAAGCACTCAAACCACCAAACCCCAAGACCTCACAAACCTGAGCCGTCCCCCCGCACAACTGGCGCGTCGCAGTAGAGAACTAGCAACCCCCCGCCTCCGCATCCGTTGACGCGTTCCTGACCAGGCTTGGGCCGTTTGAGGCAAGGTACGCCAGGAATTTCCAGGGTACGGTATCAGGTCGCTTTCCTGGCCACAGCTTACCCGACGACTGGATTCAGGCTCTTTATGGGTTCCAGATAAAGAACACCAAAATACAGCCTAGTCCTTCCTGAAACCACATCGAAGCCAGGAAGCGTCATGAAGGTGCATTGTGCTGTGATTATGGCGGTATGATACGGGCTTCAGCTTCAAGGACATTGGGGGGGTAGCCCAGTCACATCGGCGCCTCCAGATGGATGAGGCGATGTAGATCGACCACAGGACCACGAGTGTGATGGAACAGGCCTTGGGTGTGGAGGCTCCGCGATTGTATCACTCTGAGGTGTTGTCTTCCATGGTCCGCCCCCAAATGGTGGCTGCATGTTGAAAGAACCCTTAAGAACCCTGAGAAAGCACAAAAACAATGGGTTCTAACCGTAAGCCACGAACCGTAAAGTAAAAAAACTAGAAGCCCCCCGTGAGCCTCAGAACGTCTCAAGCCAAGCCTCGCCCTTCAGCAAAATACAGCAACCACCCCAAGAACAGAAAATGCAGGTGAACAAAACAAAAACGAAGTACAAACTCAACAAAGAAACCCTCGGCCCCCCAGCCCAGGCTGGTCTCTTGGGGCCCCCCAGCTCGCCGCCCAGCGCCAGGCGCCGGACGCGAAGGATCACCTTGGTCAATGCTGGGAAGCTTTGCAGCTCTTGCTTTCTTGCTTGCTGTGCTGCAGAGTTGTGGCGTTGCTATTTTGGACAGTAGGGCTGGCTTGAGGCTCAGGGCCGAAACTTTAAGGGCGTCTCACTCCACAGCCACCGTGAAGATCGAATGAATGCACGGCGCCCCAAAGCACATTTCGAGCCTGGATCTTTAGCCATGGTCCAGGCAATTTGCAGGCAGCTTTCTCAAAGCTTTCTCACCCCCCGCCCCCCTGTAAAAGCCACCAAACCCCATCATACCGGGGACAGCTACAGGCAACGCATGACCTTTCTGTGCATTCCCCCTCTCAAACTAACAGTACCTCTAGCATACTCATACTCTAGCACTACTCTCCATCATCCCCCACGGCACCCTCCAAAAACCTACAGCCCACCGACGCGGCAATCTACAAACAGACGCACAAATGTGACTCTTCAAGGCCCTCCTCTGGGCCCAGCCAGGCAGATGATGCCCACGCAGTTGAAGAGGAGGACGCTGAAGCCAAGCGCCCCGGCCTTTTCTTAGCTTAACGAACTGTTTCCGAACGAGAAAGCCTGAAACGGTGCAAGAGCGGCCAGAGTGGGATGGAGCGCAGGGAAGCTGGCGCTTACCGCCACATCATGCTAAGCACGAAGTCAAAGAAGCCTTCTTGCTTGGTGTCCGAAAAGGGATGGAGCGGTGGAGGTCCTCTATCCGAACAAAGTAAACATCGTCGTGCTTCGTGGGGGAAAAGTTCTTTAGACCCCGGGCTGACTCCTGGACTGGTGGCAAAGGGGTACTAAAGGGGTATGGGAGCAACAGGCCCCGACCTTGAATGTCGTATTTGAGGGTTCAGGGCCGTGCAGGGAGGCAAGGGTTGGAACCTCGAAACGACCGCAAACATGCTTTCAACGGGAGCTGCACCTTGACGACGAAGGCGCCGCTCGGGTACTTCGCCAAAGTTTCTGGGATGTCCTGGAGGTCATCTGCAGCTGCGATCGTGATTGGGAAGTCCCCGAAGCAACAGTCAATCTCCGAGCACGCCCTGCGATGACAATCCCCTTGATCCCCCAACCCCTTCAAACCCCTAATCCTTGAAAACCCCTTGGAACCCCTCTCCAACCCCCAAGCCTTGAACACTGGCCCCCCTCCCCACTCTCAGCCCCTTGGGCCCCCCGACCCGGTAGCGGGCCCTCCAGGCATCCAACGGGCCCTGGGTCTGGGGGGTTTGAGCGTTGAAGAGATTTGTGGGGGGGCTTCTAACTGGCATTTGAGGGTTTTGGGGTGTGGGGGGCATACACACAAGCTAAAGAATCTTGGCCTTCATCCAGGTTCATCCACAAGGGTTCAGAGATGCTCAGAGTATCCTAAAGTGGTACATGTAGCACCCGACCGAGACCTCAGCCCCGCTTCGCGCCCTTGCATCCTCCCTTCCAGACTGCCCAACCCCCGAAGCCTCCCAGAAACCTGGGCCGCGCACATTCGTCCAGTAGATTGCTGCAGCTAGCCAGGGAATTCCGATGCCCAGGTAAACGTTGACAGAGTTGCTCCCGGTCACCTGAGCGCTCACGGGGGTGTGGCGAGCCCAATCCCGGACAACTCGAGGCTTGGGGTGGAGGGCATATCTAAAGGGCTCCGAAGATCCCAGCAACGACCTCAGGTCCAGACAAGTTATGACCCCAATTCTCAAGCCGCCTTAAAGGCTTTAGGATCCAGGGAGGGGGCCCTTTGGTACAGAAGGAAAGATCCCCATTCAAGCTAAGGATAGTTTAGGGTTAGGGCTTGGTGGTTGCATGGGATCTAGATCTGAGCCGAGGGCATTGACGATGGAGGAGTCCTGAGCGAACTCCGGCACAGTTTCGGGTGTTGTATGGGTCTAGGGCCTAGGGCCGCCAGGGAGAACCCAGGCCTTGCAGCCCGCCGTAAGAATCGAAAGATGCAACCCTAGCCTGAACCCCACTCGCGAAGGAGTCTCTTCACTGCTTGGGGAGCTGGAGGTGTTAAAAGGCTTCCAGGCTCAGGATTTACAGTCAGCCACCGCTTCCGGCCAAGCATCGGCCGTGTCATCCTTTGATGCCGATGCCATGGAGGCGAAGGTATCAGGCCTCGGGTTGAGGGGGGTTTTTGTGTGTACTGTCTTAGTGTTGGTTTTTGGGGGGCTCAGGAAGTACACTTCAGAGCACCCCAAACTCTGAACCCAACCGAAGCTGGCCACAACCAAACTCAGAAGCTCGTTGGAGAGCGTGCAGAGAGTCCTTGCTTGTCAATACAAAAGAAAACAAACATGCCCATGTGGATCCAAGCTGGGAAACCATCTCAGACAGAGACAAACACACCTGCCATTCTGGGGCGCAGGCTTCAGGCTTAGGGTGTGGGAGTAGCCCTTTGCACTTTAGAGATCGCTTTCAAAGGCTTTTGCTGATGCTATCAATGGTTCTGGCCTGGGGCTTCGGGAACTTGGGCCTACTTTGGCCTGCTCCAGCGACGCTTTCCAGGGCCCCGGCAGCGATGTGCCCATGGCCACAATGGTGATCGCTGTCGTGGCATCCGGGAGGCCTAGCGAAAACCATGAAACCCCATCCGATGCACCTCGCCTCGGTCCCTTTATATTCAGTCAGGGATACATCAATCCTGCAGGACCTTGAAAGAGGAGCCGTCGCCTAGATTCCCAGATGAACCCTGAGCCCTAGATCGTCAAGCTCAGGACCTTCAACTGCAACTCCAAGAACCTTCGAATCCGACAACCCCAAGAAAATGAGGAGCACCCACTACGGTACAGGTCCCGCAAAATGAGACCCAGGTCTCGCTGCCTGCACAGCAACCGAACAGTGACGCCAGGTCGCTGATCAGCGCCGTCACGACCTGTAACAGACACAGGACCTTCCTCCGGTTGTGAGGCTCGTGGTTTGTCGGATTGATGCGCCGAGCCACTGCCACCCAGGCCAGCGCCACTACGAAGAGCAGAAACCCGCCTCAGCTGGGAGCCAAAGGTTTGGTAGGGTTCCGTTGGCAGGATTCCGGGTCTCTGTGATTCAATGGGAAGTGGCGTGAAGTCCTTCGCAAACATCATTCGGGGGTCCTAGCCATCTTCTGGCTGTAGGTAGGCTATATTTACGACCAACCCCCGGAGTCCCTCCAAGCTTCATTTAGGCCAGCCTACATGCTTGTACATCGTGCATACCGGCAAGCCCTGTAAGGCCTATAGAACCTCGGGGCTGCGGCCAGCCCAACACGCAGGCGGGCACATCACGCCAAAGAAGAGTTTGAAAGGGAGGCCTCCGCAGAAGCTCATATTCTGAGGGTCAGAAGGTTCCGGAAGAAGAGCAAAGCTTGAAGGAGTAAGGGTCCAGGCAGCATGGCGACAAAGGAAGACAGTCTCACCTAAACTCTAGCAATGAAAACGAAGGTCACACCACTTCCAAAAAAGGCTTGGGTCGTACCCTCACAAAAGAAGGGTGGCGCATCAACTTAAGGGAGGGTTTGCGATGAACAAATGGGCCCCAACCTCTGGCACTACCAGATCCTAAGCCAGCCTGCAACCCCAAAGTACCCAAAGCCTCAAAAGAACCTGGCCGGGGCCTAAAACGAAGAACACGTAGTCGCTGGGGCCCAATCTAGCTGGCTCCTGCGAGCACTGCTTTGGGATATGGCTCTGAGGGGGTTCTGTGAAATTTTGGCGGGGCCGTTTCAGGCAGCTCGGGCTTTGGGTGCAAAGAAATCGATTTGATGTGCGCGGCGTTTTTCATGGCGTCGAAGCTCAAGGCGCTCAAGCGCATGCAATGTGGGGCAAAAGGAGCTTTGGGAGCTCCAGGTGGAGCCAGCCCCGAGCATAGATTCTCCTTGCAGATCCACATCGCGTGCCCCCCCCTCGGACCCTTGAAGCCCAAGACCTTCAAACCAGAAAACGCCGTCCTCGCCGTCCTCCGCCTCGGGCTCCTCCAGCCTCCAAGAGCTCAGGATCTGCTCCTTCCACTCCTCTGGCGCATTCAGACTCAGGGAGCATCGGAGCCACAATCCCAAGCCTGATGAAAACATGAGATCCCGTGAGTCCAGGCGGAGCTCCGGCCTCCAAGCCTCGGGCGAAGTTGTCAGGGTCGATGATCCTGCACAGGCAATCTGGCCCAAGCTAGGGCGCCCCAATCCTGCAGAGGGACGAAACACCAACCCCCCAAGAGCCAAAAAAACCTTACATCCTCTCGAAGGCCACGAAGCCCGCCTCTCCCCCAAAGGCGGCTCTGAGGAGTTCTTGATGGTGATGGTCAACAGAGACATCCTTGGGACGTGCTAGATCATGTTTCGAAGGTCTGGGTGTTTGAGCTTTCCGTTTCTTGGGGGATCAGGGTTCATGGCTGCTGTTGGGTCTGGAGGGCCTGGGAAAGCGTGAGACCAAGCCATCTTCAACTGCTGCTATGCACCAGCCGGACAAAATCAAACACCCAAGAATGTGCAAGGAAAGTTCGGACTTGCGCCAGAGCCTGTCTTTGTAGAGCCTTTAGGGTCTTTTTGGCGCTTCTTTAGGGCCTTTTTATGGTTTTTAGCTGCGACAAGCCCGGGCCCCATGCTCGCGGCCGCCATCATCGTGGGGATTGAAGATGGCTCCACCCTCTGCCTGGTGGTTGTGTGAGTGGTTGTTTGGGTGGTGCGGGTGCTCGAAGCTCTTGGTCTGAGTTGCATGCGACTAGCTCAAGCTTGCCTCCCATCCCCTTTTCTAGCGTTACGAGGCCTGCTTCTCCCCTTTCGGTTTAGTTTTTGCTTTCCCCTTTGCCCAGTATTGGAGACTGACCCCTGCTAGGTGTCTTCGTGAACTTGTGGAGAGGAGATTTCTGAGTCCTGCACGCCGTTTCTGAGGGGTCGTTCATGGTAAGCCCTGCCACCTCCCTAGTTGGACTTGGGCACCCGGGTTCAAAAAGCTCTGCCACAGCAATCCCCTGGCTGCAACGGGAGCCCCTTGCCACAGGAAATGCTGCAAAAGCCCCGGAAAGTCCTTTAAAGCACCTCGGAGAGCACCAGCTGCAGGACATCATCCGGTTCCGAGAGGCGCTGCTGGAGGATCTGCACCTGGACCTGCAGCAACCGGCTCTGTGGGGGGCCAGCTTGGGGGGGGGGGGGTGGCAGGCCACCTGCTAGAGGGCCTTAGAGGGCCTTAGAGCGGCGCCTTCGCCTTGTCGATGCCAGGCTGGAAGATGACCTTTTCTACCTCAGAATCCAAACTCCTCTGAAGCTTCAAAGTTGACACCCCGTTCCTCCTCGACTCCAATCAAGGTCCACTGGGCCGGATTTCACCAGACCCGACTGCAGCTGTTCATCACAGGCCCGCGCTTTAGGCTCGAAGTCCTTGCCTGCGACGCGTGGAGAAGCAACGAGTGGGGTGACTCACGCAGAGACCAAACAGCCTCCCCTCATAAAACAACGCAGTGCACACGAGGCCTGGAACGGCGGAAAGCCCCTCCGTCTCCAGCTTGCAGCTGACCTCGCCCTCCGAGCCGTTGCAGCCTCAGGCTTCGGACGGATTTAGGGTTTAGGGTTTAGGGTTTAGGGTTTAGGGTTTAGGGTTTAGGGCTTGAAGCCCAAAGTTTAAAGGCGACAAGAGCGACAGGGGATGACGGAAGAACCATGGAAGGGTTTGGGGTTTTTTCACTTCAGGGCCTCGGGTCTCTGCAGATCAGGGCCCCTGCGGAGGATTTCCACCGACAGCGTATAGCCGTCTTGCCCGGTGCAGTCGGTCTCGGAGGTGTTCACCTGGCACATGGCTCAGGGTTTCCGGGCTTCAGGCTGCTTCAGATGAAGTCATAAACTGCGGGCCCCAAAATCAACCCCCCAGATGTGCTTCCAAAGCCTAGGGTTTAGGGATCAATTCTGAACCAGGGTTCCGGCTTTCTCTCGAGGTCCATGTGCAAGTACGATGTCCAAGCCCCACAGACACGGGTGGAGACTTCATGGTCTGGGTCGAAGGTTTGAGGTTCCAAGGGACGTAGGACAATCGGAGTTTGTCCAAGGCCCTTTGCAAGAAAGAGCAGTGAAAGCCTCGATGCTGTCACTTCTGAAGGTGATGACACCTGGGTCAGGGAGTGAGGGTTCAGGGTTTCGGGCCCTTCGGGCTTAGGGTCTTAGGATGTCCCTCTTCCTTGGGCAGTTTCTGCACCTTGTTGTGGGTTTCAGGCGCAGCTGCCCCCCTGCTGACACTCTGGGCTGGCACCTCATGTTTCAGGCCCGTATAAGAACCATCAGAAGTTCGGTTTCAGGGCGGTATCTTTCGGACTCCGGGCTTGGACCAGTTTTTGCAACAAAAGGCAAAGCTTTAATGGCCCATTGAGGAAAAGGGCCTCCTTACAGCCGAAACGCACCGGGTGATGTGTGCTGGGCTGCAGACCGTTCGGCGCTATGAAGGCTTCATTTGTCTTCGGATCGAGAATGTCCTTCTTTGGCTCGTCTTGGAGTGAAGAACACAGGGCTAAAGGATGAAAGTTCTACGCCTTGCGAGATGCTGTTTTGCACATGTTCTTAATTGCAATGCGATGCGACAGCATGGCCCAGCATGGCTCCTAACAGCATACGTACTACATACTCGCAGCATACCACGTCTCAACATGCGCACCAAGTACCAAAACTACGTAGAACGCAACAAGCCCTGACCAAGCGGCCCCCATGAAAGAGAGGCCCCCCATGCAAGAGAAGCCTCCGAAGACCCCAATCTTTGTCCTTGCCATTCATGCTCCCGGCCGGAGATTTCTGCCAAGGCGATGTTTGGTGTGGGTGCTGAGGAAAGTACAATTCCAACATACCGACATTCCAAACAGAATCTCTGGATGCGTCAACTCGAGGGTTGAGAGCAAAGCCTTGGGAATGGAAAGTTGAGGGGTGGCTGTGAACTAGAAACCATCCAGCTAGTGCGTGGGCCCTCATCAACGGGGATTGGCGTAGTCAACTTTTAAGGCCATGGCGCCGACATCTTGAACCCCAGCGGACTCCCTGCACCCGAAAACCTTCCAAAGAATACCAGGGAAGCAGAAGTAGGTGCGCCACAAGGTGCTGTGCAGGGGTCTCTTCAAAACGCGCCGAGTTCTCAACTGGGGTGTGGGGTTGTTAGGGCTGAATCTTAGGATGTTCCCCCTTGCAAGTTGCCCCAGAATCGGCACTTGTCACAAGACAAAAAGAAGGGCATCCAACAAAGATTGTTGCCGCAAGGGGGAAGATAGGTCCATAGGTTTGAGGCCTGATCCTCCTCGCCGCATGAGGCATCCCTGGCTTCCTTGGGAGCCGCCTGGCAAGCGAAGGAGGAAGCCCTTTGCCCACTGGGAAGTTCTCCTTTGAGGGCTGCTCTTGAGGGCTTTGGGTCCAGCTGGAGCAGAAAAGAAGCTGGAACGCCGTCGTTCAGCCGCGCCTCTACCTCCGTGGGTGCCCTGCCGGCGCTCAGCTGCGAATTTCTTCGGTTGCTCAGCTGAGAAGCTCTTCGGTTGGTGACGCCCACCTGCGCATGCAGAAGTTGTAGCGTCGTAGCGTTGCGTCGTTGCATCGCTGTAGTCTTGTTGGGTCGTAGGGTTGTAGCGTTGTAGCTTTGTGGCGCTGTAGCGTTGTAGCGTTAATTGTCGTCGCAGTAGCAATAGTACTCATCAAAATACTGTCATCCTTCAAACTATGGTATTGGAATGTATTGGGACTGTAGGTCGCATGGTCAAGCATCCCCTTCCTTTTCAACAACCCTCTCCAAACCCGTGTGCCAGCTCATTCCTACGGTAGGGGCCGTCATCTAAAAATACCTATGCTTGGAGTTTGATAATTGCAGTCCTCGCCCGCATTGACAGGATTTAGGATGTCGTTGGGGATTATCTTTTCGCCTGGTCTACAGCTAGTTGCCCGGGAGGGGTCGGAGGCATCCGGGCCGTTGACGGATACTGAGTGCCGGGACGGTGGTCGGGGCATGGTTGATGCGAGGATGCTGGCCTTGGCCACAGAAACTCGCACAAGCAAGACCCCATCCGAAGCAACTAACCCGACCTGGTACTTAAACCAGCGCCATTGCTTGAGATCTCTGGGGGGGCAAAGGGCGGAGTCATCCATTCTCCAAGGTACCAGAGCTTCAACACCAATGATGGTGGAGATTGGCAGAGCTCTTTCGGCTTCTGGGGGCGCGGCTCTTCCGCATGTTGTTGGTCGGCTCGTTGTAAGCAGGTGCGGCCTCGGGGTCGGAGAGGCTGTACGTGTAAGCTGCTGCGACTTGGGGTTGCAGGACTTGAGGTCGAGCCGTTGAGGTTTGTGAGTCAGCGCGAAAAGGGGACCAACAAGCTGGCCCCCTCGTGTGCCCACAAAAGGCACACCAGCTAAAACCTCAAGCTTGGACACTCGGAGCAGGATCGCAAAAACCAAAATTCTGACGCAGGAGAGGCTTGGAGAAGGTGGGCTGCCTTTTTTTCCTTCACAGACGAAGTCTTTGGTACCTCGTAATTTACATCTGAACGAAAAACTGCAAAAAGATGCTTGGAGGACTGCAGCAGTTGTCATACTACCGCACAACACTACTACATTCACTGCTTCCATCTGCTTCCAATTACACATTAGCACACCACTTGGAGAACCCCCGGCCCCCCGAGGCTTCCCAGTACTAAACGCCCCCCCCCCTTTAAGGGCTGCAGGGACCACACCAATGACTTTAGAAACTTAGGGACCCTAAATCACCAAACGGTTCCGAGGCTGCCACCAACAGGCCCGTCTCCTCTTCCGACCTGGCCGGGGCCCTCATGCTGGGTTCGGGGATTCCGGGGCTCGGGATGCCAAGGTCCCACTACGAGTAGCAAGGAAGAAGCCGGGGCAGGCGCTTCTTCTCGAGGGCCAGGAAGCCAAGCTTCCTTATCATTGGGCTTTGGAGCCCTTGCCAGGGGGCTTGAGAAACTTGAGAGTTTAGAAGCTTCAGGGCTTGTGCTTTAGCGCCTTGCAACAATGCCTTGTAAGCTGTCTGGTGTCTTGTTTTCGATGCACGGGCGCAACACTGACATCCACAGCAGATGGGGGGCATACTATATGACACGGGCCGATGAGCAGCTGCCCTTCACAAGGCCCACTGTGCCCCAGAACTGGACTAAGCACCCCAAAAAAACAGAACACTGATTTCTCCGGGTGTCCCCTTGTTGGCCATCCACGAGATCGTCACAAGGAGCGGGAACATGAGGAACGTGATCAGGGCCTGGCATTTTGCGATGCGAGCTCCTGGGTGCATGGTCCGAGAGGTTCTCTCGACGCAGACTTCTGTCGAAGACTGTTGCAGTCCACGCGCCTCCCAGATTTCGACGACATTCGGGGAGATCACCTGAACCTGGTGAAGGGCTCTGTCCTTTCAACTCCTTTGAAGGTGTTGGAGAAAAAATGTCTCAAAATATGTCTCAAGATGTCTTTGGCGTGGAGGCGGGCCATGAACCCGTCTGGGGCGACAGCGATCAGTAGTAGCCACAGGTAGGCGAAAATCCTCGGAGTTGGTTCAAGGGCGAAAAGATCGGAGGCTTTCTTGGGGCTTGGAGTACAGGTGGAGAGCAAATCCTAAAGCCCAAGACTGAGTGATGGCGGTTGCAGGGACATCGACGACTGCAACCCTACACCGGGGTTTGGGGTTTGGGTTTAGGGTTTAGGGTTTTGGGTTTAGGGTTTAGGGTTTTGGGTTTTGGGTGCCGGAGTCCCCAGCATATTCCACCGAACAAAGCCTGATTCTGAAGAACCTCCCAAACCCCAACCCCTTAACCTTTCACCCTGCCGACTTGGAACACAAGGCCCCCCGGCCCAAACAGAACGGTGACGTGATACACCGACCTGGGTTCGGAGAACAGTGGGAGGAAGGACATGTCTGCATTTGTCGAGGACTCTTGGGTTGGGGATCTGAGAATTTAAGCCCCAGGGAGGGTTGGTGTTCTCGGCACCCGGATTGTTGAGGATTATGAAGCTACAAATCCTAAAGGCCTTCAATGGCCTCAAATGCGGGATTCGGGCCTGGATTTCTACGAAAACCTGAAGTGGAATAAGGGACTCTACAATCGCTGCGCGGGTTTTTTGAACCAAACTCCCACGCAGCACTGCACTTCGAAGCCTCGCATCAACCGACAACCCGAACAAATTCGAGTCCCGGACATGTGCTCAATGGCACGCGTCTCACCAGCAGGAATCGCCACTATGCAGACCTTTGGAAGGGGCGCAAAGACCCATGGCGGGTGTGTAAATCCCGAAGAGGCCGCAGCAACTAAACCGATTAAGCTGTAAAGACTCCATTTCAATGTATGTTCACGACCCCGAACACCATCAGAGACATGCAAAGCTACGTTGCCCAAGAGCTTGGAAAGCACCCTGCCCCCGCTTCCATGAAGCTGCAGGACTGAAAGGGTTCCAAGGCTCAAAGGCAGCAGCGGCAAGAGCACCGTCGCTGAGGGCCGAACTGCTAAGATGATAAGCAAATTGAAGGCTGCTGAGCCGACCTTCCCAAGCATCAAGGGTTGCAGGGCTTCGGGCCTTCGGGTTCTACGTGAAATCACCTCGAACGAAACCCCTCAACTTCTCGTGCAGGTCAGCAGAAGCTGCTTTTTGCAGCTTGGCCGCGATCGTGGATGGACCCAGTTCGCCGCTGTAAAAGCCCGCGCCGCAGATCTCCAAAATGGACCTAAGGCTCTGAGGGTGCAGGGCTAGGGGCGGCTAGGGGCTTTGGGGCTTCGAGTCCGAAACTCCCTTTTGAAACGGGGAAGCCAAGGCATAACCTCCCTAAGAAGTCTCTTGGCCGCAGACAGCAAGATCTCCGGTGCCGAGGAGCCTGCACACATTGAATCCAACTGGTCACACAAAAGTGCCTGGGTCGGTGGCTCAGCCCATCTCAGGCTCTCTTTCACGAGATGCGACATGACAAGGTGCCCCTCACACTCCCTTGGCCTAAAGCTAAGAGGGTAAGGTCGGCCACGGTGCTGTTCCAAACCTCAGAAGTGGGAAGTCCAGTGCGCCGTTTGAGCTGTTTGCTCAGATTTAGTGTCTTTTGCAACAGTCGAGTCAAGGGTCATTAGTTCTTGTTCAGAAGGATCGTGAAGTTTCTGCAGCACGACGTACTGATCTGTGGGAACCATTGTGAGGATGATTTTGCGCATTGCATACTCACCCGACATGCTACAGCGACTGAAGGACAACTGCAAACGACTTGCAAACACCTCCGTGAAAGGAGCCTGAGGGGCCCTCGCCCCGAGCCGCGAGGGCCCCGAACACTTGAAGCAACGCGAGGCTCCGGTTTACTGTGGCTCTGGGGCCTCAAAGCCGCCTGGGCCCCGGGCTAGGTAGGTCACCCAACGCTCACGGGCGCCCGTGGGCTTGATCTGCTTTCGCCTGACGGGCGCAAGAGTTGTTGAAACACCAAGTTGGGCTCACAATGTTTGTTTTTTCGGTTGTGGGGTTGCAGAGCTGAGGGCCAGGCCTTGGGCTCTTCTCCCAAGACCCTTCACGCAAGCAGCCCAACCGAACTTTCAAGAGAAACCTCCCAGGGAACTCAAAATCCAAGAAGCACCACCAAACGCCCCCAACGTCACCCTAAACCCTGCTAAGGACCAAGAGCGCGAGTCCTAGCAACTTTCAGGGTGCACAGTGGGATGTCTGAAGCCGCACCCAAAGCTCCGAACCTAAGCTTCTTCTTCTGCCCTGAACTGAGAGCAACACACCACGAGAAGCGCCACAAACAAGACCGTCAAAATGTATGAATAGCTTAGTGATAGAATGAAGCCGGCCAGCTGACTATCAAAGTAACTGCGAAAGAATTCACGGCATCGGGGGGGCTACAAGCAGGAAACGAGGGCGAATGCTGGATGTAGCTGGTTCTCCATGGAATCCAATAACACTTTCACCCTAAACTCTAAAGCCCTTCCTATGACCCCCGTTCATGATTTTGGCGAGCGGCTTTTTCTGACTGATGATCTTTTCGACAGCCTGTGGGGTTTCATTTCGGGTCGGTCTTCAAGGTAGGTAATTAATGATGTTGGTTCCGTGGTCAGGGTGAAGGTCGGGCTTGTGAATGGGGTGTGTTCATGCGGGGAAGGGGGGAGTTCCTGGAAGAAATTGGGAGAAAACAAAACAGCTGAACCGAATCATCGCGGGATAGCAGGAGGCGGTGTCAAGAAGCCAATGCGCGCATGGAACTTACGCAGCTCCACAGCTCCAAACTTCGGTTCTGTAGATCTACCTAAGCTTGCAAAAACTTTCTGCAGACGAAGCTTGAAGCCTTAATCTGGAACAAAACCTTCAGAACCCTCAGACCCGTAGAGGTCCAATTTGGGCCGCCCGGCGTTCATGAAGCAGTCGGCGACAGTGCCCACACCCATGAACCTGGCTGCAAAGGACTCATTCGGGGGAGCAAGGGTCTGAGCGAGCAGTCGTCGGTCGTATGTGAAAATCAAAGTTTGTTGAAAAAAATCAAACAACTGGAATCAAACGTGTTGGGGGAACTTTGCATTCTTTGTTCTTTCGGGAGGATTTGGCCAGGCGGGCTTCTGCACAACATTTCACAACAGTGCCGACGGGCCATGGCAAACGCAACGCTGGCTCAGCGATTCAGTTATGGGTGTTCTGGTCTTTGCGCTGGGAGTTGCAGACATGGCTGCTTCGTCAAGTCAAGTTCTTGGGTGAAAATGGGATTGGCCCGCGGACTTCCGAGCATCATACAATCATGCCCCTCCTAACCCCGAACAATCCCTAATACCCCTTTATGTCTGCCCGGAAGCATGTACAGGAGCAGCAGGATGTAGATCACGGCACCTTGTTCCGGGAGAATTCCAAACTGGGGGGTTTGGTAACAACAGCATACCCCATGCCAACTCAGGGCCCGTGCGACCACCCTTGTCACCATCGTTCTCTGCCTGGAACAAAGGTAGCCTGCCACGCATGCTTGCACAAGAGATAACGTCAATTTACCAAATTCGAACTTCTGGAAGCAAAAAAGCGAGTAGGCGTCGAGCAGGCAGGTGTCCTCGACGTCTGTGCTCTTCAAACCCCGAAAACATCAAGAACTTGAAAGAGACGCAACGTCGTGGAAAACATGCCAGCGCAGCAGCAAGCCGCTTCCTCCAGGTTCGCAGATCTTCCTCAAACGGAATAGCGCAGACGTGAAAACAGGATGCGTCTTTTGCGGCAGGCGCACGAGATCGGGCAGCCTCAAGTTAAATGAAGCCCTCTCGTGCCTCTACAATCCCACCCCAAACACCCAAAAAAAAAATGTCAAGAATACCATGCCTCGACCTGTAACTTTTTTCTGTCTTGAAGCCGACGTAGAACACCGCAGACCCTGCACTGCTCCAAGCCAAGGGCGGGCTGTCAGTGACATTTGCCGAAGCCATTGCTGCGGTGCTAGTTGTTATAACGTTCCCCCGTAGGGGGGTTGGGAAACTTGAGCACATCCAGTCCAACGTCTTTGTGCTTCACACAACGCAATCAAACCCCTAATGTTCGCTACCCTTACCTTCTTGTGATTTAATCACCCCCCCCACCCTCACTTCATCATTGACTGAGCACTAGGAGCCGGCATCAATAAGGCAGCGGGTGAAGGCAAGCGGTCACACACAAAGTTTTTTGCAAATGATGCAACGTGAGAAGTAAGCGAGTGACTAGCGGCTACGTACACATAACCATAGACATAGACATAAACATAGACATAGACATAGACATAGACATAGACATAGACATAGAATATACTTGTACATATACATATACATATACAGATACATATACAGGTACAGATACATATACATATGCATATACAATATTCAATATACCTTATACATTATACACTATATACATTATGCATATTACAATTCCATATTACATATTACATATTACATATTACATATTACATATTACATATTACATATTACATATTACATATTACATATTACATATTACATATTACATATTACATATTACATATTACATATTACATATTACAGTACATAGTACATGTTACATGTTACATGTTACATGTTACACGTTACATGTTACATGTTACATGTTACATGTTACATGTTACATGTTACATGTTACACGTTACATGTTACATGTTACATACACATATACACATACATATACATATACACATAGATAAAAATATACATATACATATACATATACATATACATACACATATACATATACATCTTTTGATCTCTATACTTTACATTTTGGCATTTTTTTTCAAAGTAGGGGGCTCGTGTCCCATCCCGAGATGCCCCAAACTCCCTGTGTCTCGCTTCCACTTCTGAACCGGTGGGAACTGCAACTATTCTTTTCTAGACACCAAAGACATGACGCTAGCAAGCACAACACTCGAGCCAAAATGCATAGTTTATGAAATACATGAACAAGTACATGTAGTAACCCAAACCAAAAAGCCTAAACTCTGACAAACCTTCCAACCCTAAACCCGAAACCTTAACCAAACACAATCAACCATATTCCTTGGAGGCATTGCAGCGCCTTGCGGCCTGTGTTCAAAACAAGGACACGTCGTTGTGGCCTGCTCTTCATGCGGGAGTTCCTGCCGGCTATTGTCGTAACATCCCCAAAAGTGGTGTTTTTGTAGACCAGAGACATGCGGTCTCCCCTCATTGTCAGACTTGCGTGCAATTTGGCCATTGCGGGGCGAGCGGGCTCAGTTCCAGGCGTTCTTTTTTTTGAAGCGGACGCCCCTTCACCACATCAGCAGCACAGTGGGCCGGTCTGTTGCGACGAGGTGAGACGGCCGAGCTACATGGAGGAGCAACACAGCAAACCAAACAAAACACCACACCCAAAAGAAAGCAAAGCAACCACAATCGATCCTACGGTGAAACAGCCC